CACTGTTTTTTTTATATTATATATGGAATAATGATTACTAAGAAATGAGAAAAAGTGTTCCATTTTGTAAAAAGTACGAAGAGAGAAAGAAAATTAGAAACGACGTCGTATGTCTATTCGTCAATTCAATTTCCCGGTTTACTCGTCCCGGTCCTCTGCTTCCAAGTCCAAACGGCAAACCAATTTAATTACAATGAAAAATGTCAAAAGAAAGACTTCACCGCCAAGAAATGTTTGTACCTGAACGAGAAGCTTTATTAAGCAAAACACACCGACATAGCCTAATGATCTTTGTACACATTATTGCACTAAATCAAGTTATTTTGATGAATAGTTTGATTTCTCTAACCTTGGGTAATTTACAAGGTCTTTGCGTTGAAGAATTGATGGAATCTCTCGTCTCCTTTGCAATTGGCGTAGAATACTTCATAGACGTGCATTAGTAATGGGGGAAACCGACTAGCAAAATACATGTATTCTCCATCTTAAAATTCGTTTTGCTGAGAAATGAAAAGTACGTCAAGTGTTTAATTGATTTGATTAAAATGACAAAAGAGGTTATAAGTAAACCTTAATCAATTGAGGCACACTATCAAAGTGATGACGTGTATTTCAGACTAATTTGATCAAATCAGAAATATTGTAGTAATCATAGTCGATTTTATCTGGCCTGCTCGTGATGTGTGATGTGTGCATAGTAATCAACATCTAGCTCATGACCCCAATTTCCCACTTCTGTAACCTTTTCTTGATCATTCTCCACTTTTAGGCATATTCTCACATCTCTTTTAATCCGGTCACTAGCCTCTACTAAGAAACCAAGCTTTTCATCAAAGTTCCAAAAAAAGATGGTTAATTACTTCCACAGCGTTGAGACTGCAAAACAAACAAATGGCATATAAGAAATTGATTAAAATATAAGATATTACCGTGATTTAAGATCTTCGTTCACCAAATTTTTATCAAGTGCAAAGCTTGATCAAACTCGATATGAGTTTTTAATGATTTAATTTCAAACTCGATAAAAAAAATATAACAAACGAAAGAAATACCTCTATGGTGACTCAAAGGTTGTATATCCATTTTCTTATTCATAGCAATCCCCAAATCGTCTATCTTTGACCAAAGTATTCCTATAAGATATTATCATCACATTTTCTGGCCTCAAGTCTCGATGAACAATCTGTTTATTGTGTAAGGATGCAAGTCCTTCCACAATGTCCCTACAACACCCAAACAATACAAAAAGATATGGAGAGAACTAAAAAAATAGATCAAATTAAGAAAATCAAAAAGATAGGCAAAGTATTTTTAAATTAAAAACTTTTTTTCCAATTTATCAATCATATCTTTTCTGTTCTTCAAAGTTTTCAATTTTTTGGGCAGTGTTATTATTCTTTCTTTTGACCTCCAATTACAATAGTAGAATTTGCTTTGATTGTGTAACATAGTTATGTTGTGATCCCTTATATATTAATTGGAGAGTAATTTTTGAGAAAATGCTTATATGTCATCTCCACAATCACTCTCATCAAAACAATTGGGACATGGCTTGTGAAAATTGTGACATGGCAATTTTGATAAAATTTTCTACAACTAAATTTATAATTGTTACTATAAATAAATCAAAAGAGTTTTTAGTCAATATATTATCAGATTTTCATTTTTATTCTAAAATTATATAAAATTTGGTTTCTCATTTAAAAATAGTTTAGAAATTGATTATTGTAATAATAAAATTATAGAACATTTTTATAGAATATACTGTATATTCTTCTTGAAATGATAAAGACTTACCAAAATTTTAAAAGAGATTTTGATATGTTTATGAAAATAACTTCCCAAATTTATAACAACAAATATAATTATTCTTTTGAAATGTTTTTTTTAACGCAAGACAATTTGAAAGTAATAAAAGATATTTTTTTAATTCGAAAGCAATAATTCTTTTTTTTTTAATCTGTCTTTCATTTATAAAGTATATAATATGTGTTTCATTTATAAAATTTATGATTATATATTTTAATGTTTTAAAATATTAAATAATTTATGTATATTCTAAATTCTATTTAAGATATTCGGATAAACCAAATTTAACATGGATTTTTTAACTATAATGTATTAAATTGGTATACATTTTGATTTGACAGTTTACATATATAAAATAATTAAATGGTAAAACTAAATTTCTGAAATTCATATTATTAATAAAAACGATATTATTGACCAAAAAAATTAAAAACAAAAGAATCAACAATAATGTCTATAATAAAAATCAAAACAACTACATATTTCATATTTTTAAAGACTAAAATTAAAAACAAAACTGCATAAGTAATTTATCCGTGTGTACGCGGGAGAATCAGCTAGTATATGTAAATAATGGCTGCTACACTTTGGTATGCGTAAAAATTGCGGCTAACTAAACATAGTTTAAAAACAACTAATTGGAAGATAATATCAAATTTACTCCCAATGGTGAAAGCATGGAAACAGAATTTCCCCTTTATGTGAAACTAACTCACTGAAAACAAGTTTTCTTGTGTGATCATATTCATTAAACTTAGTCATCTCAACTTTTTAGTTTTATTTGTTTTATATCAGATGTGATTGCACGAAATGTTGTATTTCAAAGAGCATATGTATATCAATCCGAAAAACTATGAAAAAATAGATTTGATGTATAGAGAGAGGCAAGCATTTAGCCTATTTTTTTAATTAAAAAAGATAAGACCTATTTTTTAATTTCATTTCTTTTTTGTGTTTCATAATTTTCCAAATATATATGAATGCAATATATTTTTTAAAAATCGACAATTACCTTATCAGCCTTGTGCCGTCCACAAGCTTTCTACTTCGAGAGCAACACTCCAGTAATGTGGCTTAACTAATTCTCTATTCTTCTAGAATCTGATGAGCTCAGCTAAATTACAATGCCAAGGCTCCAAAGCGTAGTAGATAAACTCACMATCAATCTCTGAACCATAATACCTCAAAATGTTTTTGTGACCATCAGCTACACAGAGAGTGCTAATCTCATTTGCAATTTGTTCTGTTCGAACACTGTGTCTTACTAGAATCGGGACGTTTTTCATAGAAACCATCAATCACAACACATCCAGTTCCGGTCATTGATTGAGCCTTTTCTGATAGAGAGAACTTACTAACAAACTGTTGGGTAGTGAGACCTTTTGTTACATGACTCACTGTCCCCTTTGCTTCTAACACTGATGCCAAAGCTTCTGGCTTATCTGCGACTAAATCTTCTTCAAGAAAATCATTTGTTTCAAAGAACACATCCAAATCTTCTTCAAAAAACTCATCTGCTTCAAAGAACACATCCGAATCTTCTTCTAACACATATGGAACACGTCTGAACAAGTGAACAACCAGAAGAATACCAGCAACACCCACAACAAATATCCAAAGATATGATATAGTAGTATATATCTGCTTCATTGGTCCCCTAAACAGGACTAACCAATCTTCGTCAACTTTGACAGAAAATACCACCTTTTTATATTCACTGATATGATAAAACAGATAATGAATCAAATGTTACAGACGAAAG